AAAAAAAAAAAAAAATAAAAAAAAAAAAAAAAAAATATAAAAAAAAAAAAAAAAAAAAAAAAAAAAAAAAAAAAAAAAAAAAAAAATATGGTTTGTGGAATATTTTAATATTTTTATTTTACATTTAAAGGGTATATAATAAAAAGCAGAGGGGGGGGGAGGGAGGCTATGCAGTCAAGCAACATTTAATGAGAGAGTGGCCAAAGGGCTGCGGCGGAGATGCATCAAAATGCTCTGCTGCGGCGAAGATACCCAGATACAGGTACCTAAGGTAGATAGGGAGGAAGACGGGCGTATAAAGAAAGTGAGGCAGACGGAACAAGGAAAAAGAAACACAAGAAGGAAAAGCGATCGGCGAGAAAATCGAGAAGTGAAACGAGGAAGAAATAATAGAAAACAAGAGGAAGAAGAAGAAGAAGAAGAAGAAGAAGAAGAAGAAGAAGAAGAAGAAGATGAAGAAGCAGAAGATGAAGAGGTAGAGGTAGAAGCGGGCTGACGGGACAGCTTGTCGTTCAGTCCCGCGCCCAAGTCAAACCCTGGAAGCAGAGCATTCGGGTGCGTAGTTTGAATTTCTAGCCATGTCATCCATCCATCCCCACGTCAACCCCCAACCCCCCCCCCATCTAAAATACATACACACTTACCTACGGAAGTATAGCGTCTCAATATCTCAAAAACACTCTAAGGCCCAACACATGCAGTGGTATGGTATCAAAGATAAGAATTATAAAGTAGTTAATTCTCTAGAATGATTAACTGAAAAACAACTTCGATTTTTTTTTTTTTTTTTTTTTTTTTTTAATATAGTTAGTATTGTGTTGTGTGAAGAAATTAAGTCTATTTAGTGTGTGCATATTAAATAGATAGGGTTGATATGGAGCCTTGGTTCCAGCCATGATCTGGGTTGATTTTCTAACCATGTTCAACTATAGGATGCCCTAGAACATCCGCAGTCACTCACTACTAATAATAATAATAAGAAGACTCTCAGAGATATTTTTTGTCATCGGCCTACGGACGGAGTGGGCATTTGGCGTGTTTGAGCCTCAGCCCAAAGCACCGCCCGCCTACTTAGCAGCGAACTAGCGGTTGATGGATTTAGCATTTAGTTAACGAAATCCTCTCTAGGCAATAATAGTTAACAATAATAATGGGGCATCCATCCAGCCCCGGAGAAAGCGATCTTCACGTCGTCTTTCTCTATGCTATCCCTATCTATCATTTAGCGTGGATGTTGTCTTGGTTTTACATACATGTTTTGCCACCAATAATACATAATACATAATAATACACACCTGCGCCGTGGGCTTGTGGCGGCTGAGGTTGCGTCCACGGATACCGACCGATCCTGGGCGGAATAAAGGAATTCGAAGGAACAAGGAAAGAAAATATAATACGAAAAATTAGAAGAAGCGAGAACATAAAGAAAAAGAGTATGCACCTTACGCTGTATATATACCCTCACTCACCCTCGGCTCATAGTTCGTGAACTCGCAGCGTACAAATACCTCCTACATAAATACTAGTTACACCCTTGTTCGGATGTTGCTTGTTGCTTTGCACTCAAGGTTTTACAGTGTCTTATATTTAATAATTATTATTCTCACAAACCTTCCCCCCATGCCGGTCTTCCGTCATTGTTGGAGCATTGCAAGGACGGAGCAAAGCTTCTCACAAAACACACTGGCAATACATAAATATTTTTGTCTGATAGATAAAATATCCGAATGTTACCTCTTCCCCAAAACCGCTGTAGCTTGTTTTTCCCTTGTCCCAACCAGCAACGATGAACGAGAGCAAATGCGATTCAGATACGAGTCACTGCGCTGGCATTCCCTTCAGCCCTACTCTACTTACTTACTCCCTTGACGTAACTATAATATTATTTACGGATCTGGCGGTTGTCACGTCAACCTGCCAACCAGCAAGCAAGCAACACGGCCCAGAACTCTCTTCTGTGGCTGAGTGCCGTGCCTGCAGAACAAACCAGTTTGAATATGCTGCCCTTTTATTATTGAAAAGAAAGACACGCACAAAAGGCGGAACCTTGGAAATCTAGTTCCCCCATGGGACTTCTTCCTTGTTTTCAGCTCTGGGTGCTTTCGTTGTTGTCATAATATGAGTTAGTTAATGCAGTCATTAGTTAGTTATCATTATTATATTAAATATTAAAAGACAACCTCAGTCAGATATCCCCCCGCACTCAGCCGAATGCCCAAAAATGCCCGCCATTGAAGAGGTAGTTTCGGTTGCAGCCAGCGATCGTTGTCTTAGTTTATTTCTCTCATTTTACCTTGTATTGGGCCGTGGATGTATGTCCATGATAACATATTATATTGTACATGTACTTTACTGTACATTTGTATATAAGCAGTTCCCTGATGAGCACATACGCGGCCGGGTCCGGTAATGTATTGTTCCCAATTTGAATAATATCCTTTCAGATTAGTACTGAAGTCGATATACAGAGTACTTGGTCCAGAAAGCCCACGGGTATGTCAGCCCCCCCCCCCCCCCCCCCCTCGTAATCTATGAGAAACGTAGCTCGGCCAGAAAGATATGCAAGTTCAGTTAAAACATAACGATAAGCACGAAACACATAGAAAAGAGGAGGCGAAGGAAAGAAGAAAAAGAAAAAATATATTTTGAAGTGTATAGATTTACAGATTTCCGGTGTACATTCACACAAATACACAAGGTCTATGGAAAGGGCGCTCCTTTTCTTTTTTGTTCCATTCCCGGCAAACATGGCTAATTTAGTGAGCAGCAGGCGCCTCGTCTTCGTCTTCAAACCAGTCCTCCTCGACAGGGGCGGTCTCGCCGCTGGTCGCTTGACCTTCCACCTCAACCTCCTGTGTCTCGTATGCTTTCAGATCGGCGGCGAGGTTGGCCTCCTCTGGCGATGGAGGTGGCTTGGGAGCATTGAATTTCTGGACGTGCACATCGGCGTCGGATGGCTTGCTTGGTGGGACCTTGTAGGCACGAACTTCGCGGAGGTATAGGTCTTGCACGATATCGGCTACGTAGTGATAGTAAGAGAAATTTCCGCGTCAGTTATTGAATATATGTCCAAAGTACCCGAGGCTGGGGCTCTTTCATGCTAGATGTAGAGATATATATATGTATATACCTTGTCTGATTGGGGTAGCGATGAAGGTGCGACGAGCGATCGTCAGAGGTTGTCGGGCCGTTCGGGCCAGGAGAGAGCGCTGCAGATTGATCACTCAGCAAGAAACTCAATGGCAGTAGTATTGGGAGGTCAATGGCTCTTACCGATGCTCTGAGGGATTGAGACATCATCGCGAATGCGGGGGATGGAGACGACAAGACGTTGTTTATCGTGGCTACGCCGGGGCAAAGAATATCAGTCGTTTGCCCAGCTGGTTCTCGTTAAGATCCGGATTGGGTTGTGGTTGAAGACGCAGGCTTGGCACGCGTGCTGACTCAGCGTTGTGGTCATGTGATCTTCTTCGCCTCACTCCATCCCATCTGCCTAAATGAGCTTCCGCAGTCATCGACGGCTCAAAGACTCGACAACCATCTCTCAACCACGCCTGACTCTTCCACGTGTGAGTCTCTGTCGCTGGATATCCATCAGCTACAAGTATCACTGCATCGCAGCTGGGTTTGGACGTGTTTCTACAGCATCACCTAGTAGCTGGAATCGTTGTCTACATCTCTGTCGTGAATTTTGATCCTTCTTCACGCTCCGCGTCGCGGGGACTACCTGAAGTCCGGCTAGCCCACGACCGCCTCAGCTGGAGCGTCCCAAGCCTTCACCTCGAAGCGTCGGGAGCTTTGCGCCGGACGAGCTTGAGCACTGTTCTGTGTGTTTGAACAGTTCTTATCAGTTTCGTGAAAGGTAAAGCTGAGATAGATTTACTACCCTCTGGGTTATGTGGTTGTTCTGCATCTAAGTTGCTTCTTTCGCGAAGTCGAACAGAGAAAGATCCACACTCATATCTACCTCTGCCTGCCTTGCAAATATTATGATTTCTTGGATCTACATCAATAAAAGATACTACTTACTATTCGTTAATGAAGCTAACACGATGATGAAGTGATTAGTGGACGCATTATTCCAGTCGTCAAGACGTGGATATAAATTTTGCCACTCGTCCACTCCTTCTTCTTTCCTCGAGTTCTCTGGGCAATCGCGCCCCTGTTCTATTACAGTCGCCAAACTGTATTCGCCGTTGTTTATACGTGTTTACGCATCGCAGCATAACCTCACAGTTACTTATAAAACTATTAGAAGGCGCCAAAACGACCGACTCGGTGGGAAGAAGATTTCCAAGGGAAAGAAAATGACCGTTCTGGGGACTGGGATTCGAAATGAATCTGCCACACTGTGGAAAGAAAACCTCGCGGCTCACTTGATTTGCCCTGAATGCAGAGAAACTCCTCCAAATCTCGTAACCCCGGATTCCCACGAAACCATCTGTGGGACCTGTGGCCTCGTCTTGGCAGATAGAGAGATTGATCAACACTCAGAATGGCGTACCTTCTCGAACGATGACCAGAATAACGATGACCCCTCCCGTGTTGGAGATGCGGCGAATCCGTTGTTGAACGGCAACCAGCTTGAGACCCAAATCTCATATGGCGCTGGTGGTTCTCGAAGCCGCGAGTTGCACCGGGCTCAAAATAAAATGTCCAGTGAAAAGACCAACAAGGTTTTGATGGCTGCCTACAAGGAAATAGGTGCACTTTGTGACGGGTTTAATATCCCCAAAAATGTGGCGGACACCGCCAAGTATCTTTTTAAGATCGTGGACGACGCAAAGGCATTCAAGGGCAAGTCGCAAGATGTGATCATCGCCGGGTGCATCTTCATCGCTTGTCGGCAGTGTAAAGTTCCCCGAACCTTCACAGAGATATTTGCCGTGACGCGCGTTACCAAGAAGGAAATCGGGCGGATCTACAAGGCTCTTGAGAAATTCTTCACCGCTCAAAACTTAGAGCGAATCAATTCTGTGGTCTCGAGTGGGGGTAAGCTCAGGCTACTACACAACTCACCTACATTATTGAGTAAGAATACTAATTCTAACTTTCTGAAATTATAGGTGTACCTGATCCCAACGAGACATATACTGCCACAACGTCCACGAAACCCAGCGATCTTTGCAACCGGTTTTGCAATCTGCTCGATCTTCCGTTCCAAGTCACCAATGTCTCGTCTGCGTTGGCTGACCGAGTTACATCCACGGGTGATCTTGCCGGTCGATCTCCACTATCGATCGTGGCAGCTTCAATCTACATGGCGTCCTTCCTGATGGGACAGGGAAAGTCCGCCAAAGAGATCTCCAGCGTTGCTCACGTCAGCGACGGGACAATCCGTGGAGCTTACAAGCAACTCTATGCTGAGAGAGAACGGCTGATCGACCCTGCATGGATCAAGGATGGCAAGGGTGACATGAAAAACCTCCCTGCCAGCTAGATACCTCTATATCAATTGATTTATGGTCTTGATCGAAATTTGTCCCCCGCGAACTCGACCCATCGATTTATGGAAAAAAAAAAACTTGAGTTACGAGAGAAGTAGGCGGGAGGAATAATACTGAGAAATTTCCGAAGTGATAAAATGCTTCGAAAGAGTGGATTGAGGGGATGAATGAAATAAGTCTGACCCCCAACCCAAAATCCGGTTAATTTGGCGAAGGATGAAAAACAGAGAGGAACAAAAACGCAGAAAAAAGAAAGAATCGATTCAGTGGCATACAACTTGGTTTTCCTGTTTTTCTCAACAGTATTTCTTCTTTCTTCTTGTTTCCCTCCGGAAAACGTGGCTGTTATGATATCTGTGCCGTCCTTTTTTTGTTTTCCTTTTTCCCCTCTCCGCCTGCGATACCAACAGATTGCAAAGTCTGAGGTGCGCTCTATGTTTGCGCGAATAATGATACCCCCGAAAAACGCGAGAAAATCCACCCGTGGCGGTAACGGAAGCCGAGAAATCGCAACTCCAGCCATGTTTTGAAAATGGGATGTTTTCCGCTGACCGGGGGTTTGGAATGATATGATCTTCGTCAGTGTCTAATTTGTGGTGATGGCCTGGGGTCCAAGATGATTTGAGCTTATTTATGTTATGTTTCCTTTTTGCTTTTATGTCATTTGTCCTTCTTGATTCGCCCTCGTGGATGCTTGTTTATGCGGGACTTGGACCGGGAGATGAAGATGATTGCTGAACGTGCTTGTGGACTCGAGGGGATGAAATGCAACTATCCGTTGAAAGGTGGGTGGACGGATGGACGGATAGGACTTTTTCGAGTTGAATAATAATACCAACACTTGGCCGGATGGACTTAATTGTATAATAGACACATGAATTAATTGGCTACATACAAAAAGTTATAGATAATAAATAGTTCAATCGATGGATGGGAATCTTTCTTCCTTTCGTTCATTTTATTGCAAGCTGTTGCAAATCAGAATAATAATAAGTGGTGAATAGTTTAAACGATGCCCTCTGGGTTCCGCAGATGGTGGATTTTTTTTTTCTCCTGTCGTTGTACCCCTTTTCCTTCAATTCTACCAAGCATGTTCTGGAATGTTTTGAGAATGGCAACATAACTAGTTAACTAGATGTGAACAGCGTACAGAATAAATCCATGATTTTTATTAACTTTGATATATATCCATTGAAAGTCAGTGGGTAGTAGGGGTTTGTAAGGTTTCTTGCTCTCTGCATCCTATATACATGTATATAACAAAAAGGGGGGGCCGGGCTTGATGAGGTGTGTGTTTTATAAATGAAAGCAGCCACATCCAAGCTGAGATTCAGAATCTTGAACAGAAAATTAAAGGAAGAAAGAAATGGGGTAGCTCTTATAATTTAAGTGGAGAAACAAAGTAGTGATAAATAATTAGATGAGCAAGAATAATATATTTCACACAAAAATGGAATTATATCAAAATCTTTAGAAAGAGGTAGCAGCCAAAAAAAAAAAAAAATAAAAATAAAAATAAAAATAAAAATAAAAATAAAAAAAAATAAAAATAAAAAAAGAGGAATCCACGGATGATGGAGGTAACAGCGAAGAGAAAAAACGGCCCCTTGAAAACAGCCAGATAATGAAAAGAGGCAAAAGCAGAAAGGCAAAAAGAGGTATTGAGAATTGAAAAAGGCATAGGTAGGAAACAGGTTGATGTGCGCAGGTATAGATATGTAATACATGTATGTACATGTACATAGGAAAGAATAATGTAGGGCCTTGGTGGGTGTATGTGCGTATGTACGTAGGTAGATAGGTAGGTATGTGCTAGGGGTTAAGTCGAGAGGGGCGCATGTTGGTACCTGACAAGTAGGATGTGTATATGCTTGGATAGTTGTTAAGTTGGGCCGAGAGGCTAGCTTACCATTCGTTTGTTGAGGACGGTGAGAACGGAAATATACGTGCGTATGACCATGGATGAGTCTGGCTTGGCTCCCAGTGGTGGGATATTCTATCTATCAATATGTGGAGAGAGGAGGAGGAGGAGGAGGAAGAGGAAGGATTGCTTTGCCGCAAGCCGGGTGGGTGGAGAGCCAGCCCTCTTCTCGCTTTTTCTTCTTCTTTTTCTGAGTGGACAGCATTTGCGTTCAAGTATCAGTTATTCAGCGCTATGCTGGCGTCGGTTATGATCTTGGACACTTTATCAATCCACTTCTGCAACTCGGTCCAATTCCCGGAATCAAGCGCGTCTCGGATTGCCGGGAAGAATGCTTCGTCGTAGCCTGACCATGCCTGCGGTCCGAAGATGACGTGTTTAAATTGAGTTCGGTTGGGGATCTAGAGAGTGGAGAGGAAAGAGAAATGGTTAGCCTCTTGATATCTTTACATAAAACTGGGTTTATAAACTTACTCCGCCATCCTCTTCCAAATCCAAAAGGTTGGTTTCGAAATAGGCCATGTGGCTATTATGGCTCATCCGCTTAATGGCCATGACGTTGCTTTCATAACCTCCCGAAGACGAGAGCGTTTCATTCCAGCTGTGGCCCCACCGGTGGAATTTGACAGCATTTTCACGGAAGACCTTTGCAGCATCATGCAGCGGCTGCATGTTTACCACATTAGAATCGGAATTAGGGACTTTATTATCGGTGTTACTGGTTGTTCTGGTGCCCTCTCGAGCTCCCAACAAGGGTACATGTTTGGATTTGGCATATTCTTCTAGATCAGAGACATATCTCGTAACGGCAACAGCGTAGGTTTGTATGTCGAAGGGGAGGATTGGGTTATCAGCGAGCTCGAGAAGGAGTAAAGCCCAGATCTGACCAAGAACCTTGTGGTATTTAAAACCCGGGTCGCCAACCCTGGTCATCCAATCAAAGTTGTCGTAGCAGCTGTGATAGGGATAGGGGTCACCAGTGAAGCCGAAATCAATGCTCGACATGCCTGCGATATCTTGGAAGGCAACATAGTCACTCCCAGCACCCAGACCTTCGAGTTTGGAATCCCGTTCATCCCACAGCGACCGCAGAGTTCGGTGTGTAACTGGGTCTGAGGTTCGTTTGAGGATCCGAAGTAGGACCCGCTCCAAGAGAGGGGAAGCAGCGGCGCGGAATTTGTTGCCTGATACTGCAACATCGACATTTAGGTAGGCAAAGCCGTTGCGGCGGAGTTCGTCGAGCTCGTTTTCCACGTGTTCCGTGGACCCGATCAGGTTATACTCCTCCCCATCCCAACTGGCGAACTCAATAGTTCGCAAAGGTCGCCAGCCATGCGAACGTAATAATCCAAACACCCTAACCACCTCAAGGAGAACTGCAGTTCCGCTTCCTGGATCTGCGGCTCCAAAGCACCATGCATCGCGATGGCTGCCGACGACGATCTTCTTTTCACTTTGTTCGACTCCGGTTATCCTGCCGATAACATTGAATATCGGCTGGCGCTCCAATTCGTCTTGGATGTTGACAAGGTTAACCTTCGGCGACGATGGGTCTCCTGACCACCACTCCTCAAGTTTCGGAACTCCGCCCACCCATTCCTTGGGTACTTTTTTCCCATGGCCTCGAAGTGCTTTCAGGAGAGGTTGGGCATCCCGCCACGCAATGGGGATGCTAGGGATTTTAGGAAGCGCAGTACTCTCTTCTGGAGATATTCTCTTCTTTTCGCCAGGCAATGACGCAAATCCCGGACTTAATACATCACCAACTACCCAAGACATCATACTCACCCCTCCTCGCTGTACCCCATCACTAGGCATGTACCGTCCTTTAGGCCACTCCGGACCTAGAACGAAACCATCATCGGCAGGGTCAGAATAAATGATGCATCCAGCGGCTCCAGCCAGTTCCGCTGCTTTTATCTTCAGCGCTCTGTCGCCCTGTGTACCATAGTATCTAACCAGAACAATCGAGCCTTCCAGTTTGACACCCATATCACCTAACGCCTTGAAGTCTTCTCGCGAACCATAATTCGCATATATTAGAGGGCCCGTGACGTTTCCAGACTTCGAATGCCCGTGAAATACCGGATATTGCTTTCTGGGTGGGCCTCCGTAGGATTGTTCTTCTTCGATTTTGGCCTCCCAAGCGAGCTCCGGTGGATCAACAATGGCGACCCTTCTTCCGTTTTCCTTGGGATAATTAAGATACACATCGAATTGTTCCATTGTAACATCATCCATATATGCAGACTTGAATTTGTCCTCAATCCACTGTGCCAAAACATAATTCCCTTCTGTGCCAGCAACATGGGGGAATTTTGTCATCATCTCGAGGTTCTCCGCGATGTGCGTCTCGTTGATATGGCTCTGGACGTATATACGAACGGATTCCGGATCGTACATCTGTCCTATATTTATCGGGCGGGCAAAGCTGACCACATCTGAGACCACGAGAAAGTATATAATCGTAACGAGAATAAACAATCCAACCATCCTCAGGATAATAATACAATGTTGATGTTCCACCCGCGACACAATATCCCTCAGAAACTGCGGTCTGGCGAAATTGAACTTGGGCACGTATTTCCATAACGGTAACTGTATCGACGATAGCGTCCTTCTGAAATGTGTAAATCGTTTTGAAAGCGAAGAACGTGATAATGAAGACGATGACCCGGAGTTTCCATCGGGCTCTTCCACATCCATCTGCTCCAACTCCCGCCGCAACTCTTCCGTCGAACCACGCGCTGAACTACCATTGGACGAGGGAAGGAAATCGAGACTCGACCGCTCCGACTCTACCGTTGGAGGCTGATAGTTCTCCGGGTATCTGGTTTCCTCACGCTGGCCGGAGCCACTGGTGAGGAGGCCTTGTCTTTCCGCATCGTCACTGACTTCTTCTGGGCCGAGGCGAGATTGGGAGGAGGACGGACGGGAGGAAGTGGCTTCTTCATAGGTAGGGATGGGGAGGAATTCGTATTTTGATTTCTCGTCGCTCATTGCTGTATTGTAATAGTAGCAGTGGAAACGGGAGCTCCAAACGGTGGCCCCTGAGTTCCCTTAGAAATCGCGGGACTGGGGAACTTTCTTGTCTTGGAAGTGGTATAAGGGGGTCGAGAGGGATGCGGGATCATGATATGCTTTTTGTCATCGAAAGAACAAGGCCCGGCATCGTCTGAGTAAAATCAACTCTCAAAGTCCAAGCACCTGTTGTCGTCAAAGGCCTGGTTGTGTCGTTGGGAGGTTGGAAGCAGGCGATTTGCTGATGGTCCGGGAGTCTGGAGCCTCAGAATCTCCGACGATTCTAGCCGCAATCGTGGCGTAAGGGCTTGGCGTCTGGATCGAACAAGTTATTATTAATCTATCAACAGCAGAACCTCCAACTTATCCTATACCTACTACCAACACTCCGTGCGATGGCATGTATGGTCAATATCCGGAATTTTCTATCTCAAGATTTCGAGATTTTCCTTTCTTCATGTCTGGACACACTTTGCGCCTCGTCAAGGTTCGTGCATAGAAGACAAGCCTCCAAGAGGCCATTCCTACCGGCTGAGGGCGTCTACCCCGCTTTTCACCATCAACAGTCGACTCTTCTGGAGATCATTTTTTATCCTGAGAGTTCAATAGAGATATGTGCGATTTCTTAACGTATAATGTTATGCTGAGTTTATTTACAAGTAGATTTTGTATCTTGCTTGTTATTTAACTCTCATCGCGCAGCCTTGGCACAATGTCTGCAGCCTGTTGTAGCTAGGCCACTGAGAATATTCATATACTCATGAGATTCGTCACTTAATCCATTTTATCTTTTCCCATTTTTCTAGATTCTATCCGATTTCGGACAGTATTGTATAGTTCTGTGTCTTCTATTAAATGTGCGGGCCCTGCTCCCCAACGGACAAACTAACATGGACTGATTCGTATGGCACTTTGACGCATTCTGAGAGGTTTTTTTTTTCTATCCATGGGAGGAACTGACGACGTTCATACTCCTTATTACTACGCGTGTGCTGATTATTTCTTCAGATGCACCAGCATCCCAGGCAATAAGCGCAGACCACATAGGAAGCACCACGACATCTGTTTCCAGGTGATTCAACATCGGAACAACCTCCCGGTGTGTCTGATTGCTGACATTTAAACACCCTTCTTTTGTGAAGACTCGATAAATCTGAGGTTGAACTAACTATTGCTGCCTGGTCTATATACACCGCAGAGAGGACACATGCTAGAAATGCAGCGCTCTGCTTCGCCTAAGGCTATCTCCTGAGTCACAATTATGTTCCAACCCAGCTCGGGCGCATTGCTTTGTCGAGTCAGTTTTGGCAGGAGCAGAAAGAAGTCCCAAGGGAAAAGAAATTCTGTCAGAGTGCTTCCAAATCTCCATGATTTTGGGCGACTTGGGGTTCATTTCTGAGGCCAGGGTTAATGATGTCTGAGGTAGACGTCAATCAATTCCATAAACACCTTGCCAATGCATTATTGGCTCAAATCTACTGTTTAGTTATCCACATGGTTTGCCTTCCAAAGCCTTCCTCACCAATCCCGCATGTCATATGGCAGGAGCAAAATAAACATCAAAAGTGAAACTCAACTAGTTTGAAGGCCCCGAAGGACTCCTCAGAAAAGCCCAATACTGAACACAAACACACTGCAAATAATAATCACAATAACCAGGCAACTGCATAAACCTACCCGGCCCTTGGTCTCGAGCTATTAGTGCAGGTTGGGCAGCTCCGGTCCCTTGCAGCGGCAGGATGCAAGAAATACCGACGAAGTGGAGCTTGGTACCTGAAACTGGAGTGGTTGACAAAAGCTCTGCGGCGGAAGTGCAAGGAAGGATGCATGGAAACAAGCTGAAACCGAGGATTTACTGTCGGAGCAGCCAGAGTAGTTGTGGTAAATCGCTCCGGCAAGAGAACTAAACCCTTGAAAAAGGGAAAACGGGAAAAAGTCGTTGCCTGTTTAGGCTACAAGATTTCTTTCTGGGAGGGCAATCGAAAATAAGGAACCCACTTATTTATTTATTGACCGTCACACTATCAATTGCTTAATTGAAGCTGCTCTGGCGCGGGGGGGGGGGAAACCGGGTGAAAAAAGCAAAGAAGTCTTGGCTGTCAGATTTAATCGTTACCGGTACAGCCCTGATACCAGGAACAAACCACGCCCACGCCACCAAACAATCTAGGGACTGTACGCAAAGTCCCCAAAATCGGTGCCGGCGAAGGTGGAACCTTCAATAATAATAATAATAATAATGGAAGTAGGAAGGGGGCGGAACAATAGAACCCGGTGTCGGAAGATCAGATAAGAAGAGGCGACCGCAGTATGGAACCAAAAAATTCAATTTCCGGGTGGATTTGTGCCTGTTGAGGGGAATTATCGGGAGTGGTATGGATGGTACGATACGATACGACTATTACCGTTCGATTGATAAGGACGTATTGTATTGTAAGCCGGTTACTGCGCAGCACTGCAAAACGAGAGTGATGGTGGGCTAGAAATTACTGCTGGAGTTCCAATGCTTGAGCTGTTTGTTGTATGTAGCAGGGCCTTGGTAATAATAATAAATCATAGTGTCGACTGGGAGTGAGAGTAGTGTCGTTCTGCTGTCGGTGTACGTACATGAGCGCAAGTCGTGGTTGCGGTGTGGTGTGGCTTGTTATACCATCGCGGCCCTAGTCCTAGCTCAGCTGTTGGCCCTGAGCATCCAACCGACATGCAACCATATCCACCGCTCAGGATGGATCAGGAGGAGGGTTCGAATGAAGCAATTATTTGCAATTATTACTTTACAGTACAGAAGTATCCATAATCCGTACGTCCCTCCTATCGTGGTCCGCCCCAGAGACAGCAAAGTGACAGACAGACAGACACCCTTGGCAGCCACTATATATCTCGCCGTCCCCCCATTTTCTCTGCGCTGTTACACACTCCTCCATAACTATCCATATACAGCGTATATTTTTGCGTTGCATTGTCTTGTCCAGAAAAGCTAAACACATAGAGTTCTGCGGTGTTTTCCCCATAGATAGACAATAATAGGTGTGTGTTGGGAACTCTCTTTTTTCGCCCCTTATTATTCAGGCCAAGCAGCACAATTGATCTTCGCTTGGCGATCCAATGCGACACCACCGAAATCCCTCGCGCACGTCAACAAGCTCGCAAGTGCTCAGCACCCGCACACCAACACAACCCCTGATTCCCAGACCAGAGCTTCTTATTATTGTCCGTTATTTATCGAAGCAATCTCTAACTCAAAAGATACCAGAGCGGATTAGTTTACGAGTGCTTGCACAACCGTCTTTGACTACCCTCAGCATTCTCCGCTTCCACCTCTCCCAACCTCCTCCCTCTGGATATCTTCAATCCTAAATAATACCAAAATTCACTGTTACATTTTGTGCTCCCCCCCCCTTTAAATCGATACCTCGCAAGTAAACATGTCTTCTCGCGCTCAGAATATCGGCATCAAGGCCATTGAGATTTATTTCCCATCTCAGGTAAGTCTATTCTCGAAATCTGCCAACCAGCAAGCTTGAAAACCCGAAGAATAGTGGCTAATAGGGGTCACGTCGCGGCGTGATCATATCAGTGCGTCGATCAAGCCGAACTCGAAAAGTTCGATGGCGTCAGTCAGGGCAAATACACCATTGGCCTTGGCCAGACGAAGATGAGCTTCTGCGATGATCGAGAAGGTATGAGCAAAAAAGAAGAAAAGAGAAAAAGAAAGCCCCATCCTTTGGTCCTGAACACCACTATGTGAACCCGTCCGTTTTGCTGAACAATATATGTGTGTGGAACAATAGATATCTACTCCATGGCCCTTACCACTCTCTCCTCCCTCCTCCGCAAGTATTCGATCGACCCGAAGAATATCGGCAGACTCGAGGTCGGGACAGAAACTATCCTCGATAAATCCAAGTCCGTCAAATCCGTATTGATGCAGCTATTCACGGAATCGGGAAACACAAACGTCGAGGGCGTTGACACCGTAAACGCATGCTACGGGGGTACCAATGCGGTATTCAACTCGGTAAACTGGGTGGAATCATCCGCTTGGGACGGCAGAGACGCCATTGTGGTTACTGGCGACATCGCGCTGTATAAGAAGGGCGCTGCCCGCCCAACCGGCGGCGCTGGCTGCATTGCCATGCTCATCGGGCCCGATGCGCCCATCGTCTTCGAGCCAGGTCTCCGCGGCTCCCACATCACCCACGCATACGATTTCTACAAGCCAGACCTGACCAGCGAATACCCTTACGTGGATGGCCACTACTCCATCAAATGCTACACACAAGCTGTCGACGCCTGCTACAAGGCCTACAATGCCAAAGAAAAATTTTTGCAAGCTAAGGCACAACAAAACGGCAGCATAGTAAATGGCACCATCGCCAGCAACGGCGAATCCACCCCCGCCGCAACCACAGACGACACCAAGACCCCCCTGGACCGATTTGACCACGTTCTCTTTCACGCCCCAACCTGCAAGCTCGTCGCCAAGTCCTACGCCCGCATGCTGTACAACGACTACCTCGCCGACCCAGCCCACCCCGCCTTCGCAGAAGTCCCCGCCGAGCTTCGAGATCTGGAGTACGATGCCTCCCTCAGCGACCGGACCGTCGAGAAGACATTCATGGCGCTGAGCAAGAAGCGCTTCAATGAGCGCGTGCAGCCCTCCATCGAGGTACCCACCATGTGCGGCAACATGTACTGTGCCAGCGTCTACGGTGGTCTAGTTAGCTTGTTGACGAACGCCTCGTTCGAGAACGCGGCGGAGCAGCAGAAGCGGATTGGGATTTTCAGCTACGGCAGCGGGCTGGCGAGTTCGATGTTCAGCGTGAAGGTTGTTGGCGATGTTTCGGGGATTGTGGAGAAGATTGATTTGAAAAAGAGGCTTGCGGCGAGGCGGACTGTTGCTCCGGAGGTGTATGATGAGGTGAGTGGGATAAATGCCATTCTTCTTGTCTTTTACAACTACCTGCAAAACTTTTGAAATAACAAGAAGGCTAACCAACTTTAACAAACGAACAGATGTGTCTCCTCCGCGAACATGCTCATCTGAAGAAAGATTTCGTCCCCGCCGGAAGCGTCGACACCATCGCGCCAGGAACCTACTACCTGACCAAAGTGGACGATATGTTCCGACGCGAGTACCAGATCAAGGCATAGAATAGCATACATATACATACCCTTTGCATGCCTATATACCTACCTACTCATGCGTGATGCATTTTTTTCATGAAGCGAAGATGGAGAATGGTTCGAGTTTGATAAAAAGAGGATCATCACATAGCTTTCCTCTTTTTTCTTTTTCTTTTCTTACTTTTTGCCTCCTTTTTTTGCCTCCCTTTTTTTTTAAATTGATTTTTTTTTTTTTTTTTTCTTTTGCTTTCATTTTCATATATAATAATTATTTTACCTCGGGAAGGGAAAAGGAACGGGGTAACTAGTACGCAGGGATATGGGAATGGAAATGACGGATGATTGAAGACGAGGAATAATGAGGATGAGGATGAATGGAGGGGGGAATTGAAATCGCATTTTATATCTGTTCTGTGCCTTTTTTTTCTCCCCTCAAATCCATCCATGAATCCATGATCCTCTTCTGTTTCCCCTTTTTATAATAATCTTGCACGAAAAGAAAAAAAATTCCCCAGAGATAGATTTTTTTTCTTCTTTTTTTCCTGCTTTATCTACTTCGTCCTTGTTGTTCCCTTTTCGTTATCGTTATCCCTACTTTAGGTCTTCCCCTTTTGCTTCTTGATTAGAACTTTGCGGAGAAAATAATAGCTAACAAACTATATTTCCAAACGTTTCTTTTCAACCAGAAGCACGATAGAGCGGCGCGGAAAAGGAAATAAAATTAGTTAGTACTAGGAAATTTTCACATATGCTCTTGCTTTCTATCCTCTCTTATTTTCTTCTTGCTTCATTTTGGTTTTTTCCTTCTTTGAACTTCGAACGCCTTTCTTCTGTCTTTTACGTCTTCTTCCAGTCCATGACAAAAGAAGAAAACATGACGTGCATGAGCGAAAACTGGGGTGTTGATATTGGATGATGTCGAAGGACGAAGTGAGGAGATACCAGGGGGATGGGATGGTACGGTTGCAATCTCATTGTGAACATAATGTCAGCTAAATTTTATCCACTGTAGCAGAAGACGTAGAATAGATAGATAATAGACATCGAGATTCTGTGATGGACGCGTGAATTCTGTGCCTTCATTTCCTGGTCCTGAGCGGAACAGTTTCTGACTACAACATATTCCTGAAGAAGTCGTTGTCCACGGATGTGTCTCGTCTTCCTATCGCTTGGCGTAGAGTAAACAAACACATCCCTTCTTGACCGCTTCTTGGGGGGGTGCATTGGGTGTCCGTATGTCACTTGGGATCTTTTCTCTCTCTGCAGCCTACCACGCCGCTAAACTTGATATCCCCTCCCAGCCAAAATCCTGAAACTCGTCTCAGGATGCGCTGTGAGAGGACGGGGAGGGGGCGCGCAGCCAAAAGTTGAGGACGCGATGAACTCCATGATCATCTGCTGAATGAATGCTCTATGCTGATACGCTGACAGCAGATAGACAGATTACCACCAAAGAATTGAAAAGCCTCTTCTTCTTTTTTGCTTGCACTGGTGGACAGGATATGAGTCACTGCTGATGGCCGATTCAGGAGTTTCGACAGAGATGAAACATGTTTCTCAAGGGAGCGAAACAGCGACCTTAACCAATAGAACTGGCTGACGCGCTGGAAAAGCGTTCGACGTGCAACAGACTGGAGACGGTGAGAGAAAAGCAAGCAAAAAGAGGATGTCAGAAGCTAGCTAAGCTCTCACGTCGCGTCAGTCGGTCAGGATGTTCCCATGCCGCGCGCGAGCCAGGTGAACAGATGTTTCAAGTTGTTTTCATGGGAAGTTCTGTTTCGTTTCAAGTTTCAAGGAATTCATACCCCCAGGTTCCCTTGACAGCGCCCGATCAGGCAGGTTAGGGCTAGGGCTGGGATGAATCACGCGTTTTTAACGTCTTGCTCCCCGTCGCTGGTCAACCAACCAACTGTCCTCAACGCCGGCTTCTGCAGCAGACGCGCTGGTCTCTTGACACTTTGGGGGTCATGGGCGTCTTCCAAGGCTTTAAGGGTCTGGTAGCGCCGTCCCAACTGGCAGAGCACAGTTGGTGAGACGTCGATGGAACCAGTCAGCGTGCTTGCCGCTGTGATCTCGCTGGCTTTGTCGCCCGGCACTTGCAGCAACACAGGCAAATCATGACCGCAACGGGCCAACACTGGGGCATAACTGGACAACGGGAACTGAATAATTAGAGTCCCCTTCGTGGGCGCCAACTGGAAGTCTGGAACTGCAGAAAAGGACCCCCCATTTTGCATTCTGTTGCCCAGTATTTGGACACAACTTGGGCATCCCATCCCACCACTGTCACCACCCAATGGGCATCGCAGTCCGCCGCCTTGTCCCAACTTTTCTCCCAGTTTCCTTCTCACCCCCCCCCCCCCTCCCCCCGGGCACTGGAAATAGAACACTGCGAAACAATCGCGGCGCGTCTCTCCCTCTTTCTCTGGTCTCTTTCTGGTCTCTTTTCGCCTGCTTCTATTCTGTCTGTTCTCTGCCCTTTCTTGTCCAAGTTTTGCTTGTCCGTCCCCACCTCAACCTCTGCTCTGGCGCTTGGAGATTGCTCCAGTCTCAACAACCGCCGTGTTGCCGGAAATAGCTTCGATATGCTGCCAAATATAACAGCTCCCTCAATAATAATTCATTATTCAGTAACTATGCAGCTCATAATAGCTTATCGCGATCAACCTGATACACGAAGCTTCTTCCCTTTTGCCCCTCCCTTCGCGTTACGCCATCCCCATCCCCATCCCCCTTGCCGCCCCGCCCTCCAATACCTTCCCCCCTGCGCGTCCTTGTTCCTCAGGACCCGCGCGAGCTCTCCCCACTGGAATGGCCGAAAAAGAAAATATGACATTCCCAAACAAACCCCTTAGGCGCGATGCGATGCCTGTCGTTTTATTTTATTTTTATCTTCCTCTTTTAGAACTATGTTTCCTATTATGGATTTTTTGACGCCATGTAGCTTTGTTTCATGTTGCTTCATCTGGATTGCTTCTGTGCGATATGATGGATGCGTTTACTCCCTTGTCGCGACACGTCTGTTTGAGAGAGGATTTAATACCCAACCCAATCCTCTCTCCAACCTCTTCTAAAGAAATATTCAATCAGTCATTCAATAATGATCAATCAATCCTTCTTTTAATTGTCTCGACTATCTTGAGCTCGACATTTGTTCTTGCTGCTTATTGGCTTTTCCTTTCTTTAGCCTCTCCTCATTCTATACCTCTACTATATCCTGTTCCCAATGTGCTCCTCAAGTTAAATATATACCAATTTAAAACTTGAGCTCCTTGCTTGTTTCGTCTTTGCTTGCGAGGAACATCTCCTGCAGTTTTACTCCGCTCAGGGCAAGCAAGTTTTGTTGTATCAACTTGATCCCCTTTTTTTTCGCATAGAGTATGTTGAACCCCGCTACCAACCCCCACCATCCGGAAAGAAAAAAAAGAAAAAGAAAAAGAAAAAAAAAAAAAAAAGAAGAAAAAGAAAAAAAGAAAAAAAAATTGATCTGGCCTTTACCCCTGACGCAATGCCGCAGAAATAATGTCGTCGGAACTATATTACCTCAGGCCATCAACGCCTCCCCCTATGATGACCACTAGTCAATATGCTGGTAATCATCATACACATGCCCGTGCAGACTCGAGTTCCTCTAATAACTCGTCGCCGGATTCTGCTGGCACCAACCTCACTACTCCGAGTTTGTCACCGGTCATCCGCCAGCATGGACCGGCTCTCCTCCCAAAGATCAGACCTCAGGATCTTGTGGTTGAACCGGTATCCTCGAGTGGACCCATTCGTCACCGCAAGGGCCAGTCCACTGTCCGCAAATCCAACGCGTACTCACCCTACCCAGCTAGTCGATCTCAGATGCGTGGATCTTTGACCTCGCCAATCGACTGCTCCCTTATCTCGCCGATTTCGACTTCTTCTATGCTGGGCCATCGGGCCCCTTCAACAACTCTCTCTTCACCAGTAACTCTGACCCCATCTCATACACGGCTTGCAGGTGGACATTCTCGTTCAACATCCACTAGCAGCATTGATGAGGCAACTTGGGCCCGCTATGGATACCCAACCTACCGACAGTACCCAAGATATGTGACCCAATGCAGCCCGACAACTCCAGTTTCAGCAACATCCTTTCTATTCTCATCTTATCTACCGCTGAATGAACCAGTTACTCACCCAGAGCCATCCCCATTGCTCCAGCCTGCCTACTATGCTGAAACTCCAGTTACAACCCTGGGTCCACCGATCCCTGCTGCCACCGTGACTACTCCCCCTTACTCAGACTCTGATGACCTGGAGCTTTCCACCACACTCCTTAAATACCTAACAGAACCAACGCAGGCCATCAACCTAGTGCAGCATGTAAGAGTGCCCGTGGGCCGTGGACAGCAACATCATTTCTGGTGGGATATCCGAAACCTGCGAAGTTGGTCCAGCTTCTCTCTATCTACAATCCACTCTATCCCAAAATTGACCGCGCTCCTCACCACCCAAGTCTCCCAAGACCACCATCCATTATCAACTGTCACCCCATCGCGCCTCTCCCCCAGCTCTGAAGGGGCTCTGTCCGAGTTAATCCGCGACATCTACGCCCCACGCGTAAACGCCGCCATTCAAACCTCCATCGGCAACGGTCTGTTCCTCAGACCAACAGCAGAAGCCTTCCTCACAGGAAACCGCAGCAACAGCGGCCCCCACTTTATCGCCAACTATGCCACAGACATCCAACGCACAGCTTCTGGCAGCCAACGCGGCCGCCTCGTCGGCCTGGTGAAGAGCTTCAACTGCTGGAACAGCGGGATGCGCCAGGAACCACCGCACAAGCGTGTCGAGTACCTGAATGGCCTCGCACACCTCCAACGCTGCATGCGCGAGCACTCTTGTCGCTACGGCTTCATTATTACTGAAATTGAGCTCGTCTGCGTCCGCGCAGGTTGCGACGATTCCACCGACATACCCTACTTCGGCTATCTGCAAGTCGCCCCGCCAATAATGACAAACCTTTCATCGGAATCTTATTGCCCACCCACCCACCAACAACAACAACCATCAATGACTCGCTCCCACTCCCATCGCTCCTCCTCCGCCCAATCATCTGACTACTCCCCAACTCCCTCCCGCTCACCCACCCCACCATCCTCCTTCTCGTCCTTCTCCTCAGCTTCCTCGTCCTCCTCAACCCCTCTCACCGCAACCCTAGCTCTCTACTATCTTGTCCTCCTCTCCAAAGCCGAAGCCCTCCCCTCCCAACCCCACGGCTACCTCAACGTCGGCGGCCACGGCACCCTCACCCGCCAACACGTCCTGCCAGAGGGGAAAGACAAATGGATCCCAGAGCCACAGACCGGGGAGAAGCGCGATGCGAAGAGGGTGCGCGGGTGGGTGTGGCCGCAGGATCCGTGGCATCGGCGGGAGGGAGGTGGGGTAGTAGGGAGTCGGGCGAAAGCCCATCAGCAGAATGGTGGCGTGAAGGGAGGGGTGGGAAAGGGGAAGAAATGGCATAAATAGTGGTTTCCATGTGTGATGAGTAATGAAGTAATGTATGATTGGGGCGTTTTGCTTTTTATTTTATTTTTTACTAGGTTTTTGGTATTTGTGATCGGTTTGTTTGATACTTACTTAATTGGGGGGAAATGGGGTCTTTTTTTTCTCTTCTTTCTTTTCTATACATGTACATATTTAGGATCACTTCTTGGTGTTTGGTGTTGATGTGTTTTATATATTTCCCTAGTTTATTTTTATGTTTCTGTTCTTTCAATTTTTTCGCTTCTTGCCTTCTGTTTTATCTTTTATTTTCCTTCTATAAACTACCCGTTTCTCATGGTTCATTTCTTATAGTTTTCTTCTCGTCCGTCTTAGATGTCTGTCACCACCATAACCACCAATCAATTGAGTGATGGGTGATATATGTTTATTTTCATCTTTTATTATACATTTTCTTCTCTGTTGAAGGACACTGGGGCAAAAGAGCTCAATAACCACCAGCTTTATACTGGTAGTTAAGGGGCCGAACCATTCTATTCAACATTCAACATCTGTTTTATTATCTCTTCATTAATCTCTCTGGCATATTCTTCCATTACTTTAGACCATTGTATTGTACTGTACATTACATACATAGGCCCTGTTCCTAGAAAATACATTTGTTTATTACTCCTATACATCTACATCTGCACATAGAGTCCAGAAGCGGAAAAGAAGGCAACTAGCTAGCTAGCTAGCTATCAAGCCAAAAGCAGACCAACTTGGGATAAAAAGAAACGTGGGTCTAGCCCATCGGTTCGATCATCAGTCACATATTTAGATTTTGCAGCCTTTCTTCACTTAGCTCCCGGAAAATCATGCAGAATAACCTTATGCAAAGCAGATCAATAATAATAGCTCTATGCCCTGCATCATTATTTATTTATTTACTCACCTATACGCGCTGGTCAAGTCTCTCAAACAACGGCAGTTGTGTTTCAAGTACCCGCTTGTGCTGGTTGATGCGGGCGTTTAATCTTGGCGGGCGCTTAGGCTTGTCTCCAGTGCTATTTTTCTATTTATAGTTACCATCACATTAGGTAACTAGTTAGTTAACCTTCCAAGGTTCCAACTTGTAACTGTTGGCCCTTACGGCCGTTGCGGTTAGCGATCCCACTAGATCACATGACCCACCACTATATTATGTTCCTGTAGATAGATCTATCAATACAACCTTAAACTATTCTACAGGTTATAGCCTGAATGATACATTTTTCTTTTTAGAATATTATATCAACATATTTTTAACACAGATAGTTTATCTTTTTTAAAAAGACTCTTACTCTTTATTAAAGATATTTCATTTTCTCTGAATCTATCAGTCAGCAGATTCATATACTTTATATTTTTAAGAAAGTACATTCTTCATTGTGAAGAATATTACTTTTTATCTTTTTATCTTTTTTTTTTACATATCTAAAAGAAGTAGAGTCATCTCAATATAAGTAATATATCTATTACTTCAGAGTTTAGCTCAAGACTTAGAATCACACACTTCACTAAACAACTCATTGATAGAATAATTACTTATTATAAGAAAGCTTCTGACTTATAAGATAAGACTGAGATCAGTTTTCATCAGAGTATGAAATTTAATAATGAGATAATAGAGAAGCTTCAGAATAAAGAAAAGCAGAGTTAACATTTATCTACAGAATCTGTTCATTTTAACTCTTTAAATTCTTCACTATCTTTCATCTCTGAAATACTGACTTTTAATAATGATCTGAATCAATCTATCTATTACACTGCCCCGGTGGCCGAATGGTTAATACGGCCACCCGGTAGCGCCTTGGCGTGGGAAACCAAGGCGTGTGGGTTCGAAACCCGCAGGGGATACATTAAATCTGAAACTCAAGCACCTCAGGTTTCTAATAAATACAGAGGTGTACAAATCACTTCAATAAATCGCTCTATGTTCCTGGGCTGGAAAGTTATTATCGCATGTATCTAATTGTCACTTCTTTGTATTTTCTATGTTCTTGTTATCTTGGCGTGGTCTCAACACCTGTATTTCCTCCTGTATAATCAACACTTGACCTGTATTTAACATCACGCAAGGACTCATTATAAGCTCCGCTTGCATATGAGTATAATGAAAGAATAATAATAATAATAATAATATCTATTGCACTGCAGACAATCTTATGAATTTTATACAGATAATACTACAGAATCAGATAACTGCAGCTGAAATCACTTAACATCTCACTATATCTGTATAAAGAGACACTATGAGAGATGAGTTGTAAAAATATCAGAAGAAAGTTAAATATACACTAGATACTAAATCAGTGATTATATTTGATAACTTTAATTATGAAGTCTAATATGTTGATATATTAGCTAATGCAGAAGTTATTAATAAAACTAATATTTTATTAAGAACTCAATGAGAATTCTCTTTTACATATTATATTAACTCTAAGAAGTGAAGAATCTGTTTTAAGTCTCTATATAAATGTATACTATTGAGTCTTGTTGAAAATGTTTGAACTACTATTGAAATCTTAAAAGCTGATAATACTGCAGCTCTGTGAGATAAGATTAATATGAAATATACAATATCACTGATAGAAGAATAAGTTAATATCTTCAAGAAATTGACAAAATTATAAGTTAAGAAGAATGATTATTTTACTTTTCAGAGATATTTTCACTATTTTATTATCTATTACAAGAAGCTCTGTCAGAGCACTGAGAATATATATTATAATCTTTTTCTCAACAATTTACAAGATTATTAAAGACTGTTTATTAAGATACATTTGAATGAGTTTTTCTTCACTGATCAGAGACTCATTATTAACATTAATATTAATAATTTAATGAAGTAACTGATTAATTATACATTTAAGAAGATTATCACTGAGTGAAAAAAGCAGTCTCAAACTGATTCTGTAACTGTGAAAAAGAATAAGAATAAAGATAAAAACAAAGATAAGAATAAAAGCACATCTGTATGAAAGTGCATTCACTGTAGAAGATATGAATATACTGTTAACAGATGTTTCATCTTACACTCTGATAAAAAGAAAAAGAAGAATGACAAGAAGAATGACAAGAAGAAAGAGAAGAAGAATGACTTAATAAGTTCTTAATTAGCAGTAAATATAGTAATTACAAAGATTGAGTTCTATTTCTCTTTCACAGTCACTGAAAAATCATTCTCTAGATCTTGATATTTGAATACATGTACAAGTCTGAATATGATAAGTGAGCTTCATTCTTTTTCAAATATCAAATCTTTTAATAATAATATCTCTGTTGATTCTGCAACTGAGAGAACTGAGTTTGTTAAGAAGATTAAGACTATCACTTTGAAAATTGAGAATGAAGATGTTAACTTACAAAATATTCACTATATTTCTAATATTACAGTCAATCTGCTCTCATTTATAAAGCTTGAAGATCAGAGATTCTGATTTATATTATCTTTCACTATTCTCTCATTTTTCATTTGCAGAGCTCTGAACAGTATTATTTTTCATACAGTTCAGACTGCTCAGAATAACATATATAAGATTAATAAGTAAGAGTTTAATAAGAATCTCAATCATCTGAACAGAGCAGTTAAGTACATTATAATAATATCTTATAAGTACAATTTTAATTGAAAAGTTAATCTTTCTGTGACTGCTGTTATTACTGTTAATAATATCAATTCTACAGATATGAAAACACAGATATCAAAGATATTAAAGACTCTTTTAAATTGATATTATAATCTCAGTCACATTTATACTGATGCTATAATTACTATGGTTAAGAATTCTCATACTGAAGTCACAATCAAAGATTCTAAGACTAAGTTCTTTTGTAAGAAATGTGTTAAGACTGATATAATATGAGATTATTTAAAAACACTGATATCTAGATCTATCTGACTCATTGAGAAGATTCATATTAATCTTGTAGATGATAGATATATATTAAAAGACCTCTCTGATCACTTCTTAGAGTCTTATCAGAGAATCAAATACTGAATACTTATCACCTGTGATGCAACTAGACTGGTCACTGAAATCATGAATTTCATATTTAATCTCATTTGGTCTGATCTCATACATTTCTTGGCGTGAATCCCGCTGGGACTGGCTATCAAAAAAACATGTAAAGTGACTATATATCAGATCTTAAAATGGAATCATGACTTGAAAAAAATGAGAAAGTGATTTCATTTGATCTCATTTAGTTCCATTCTTGATATAAAGTTACTATTTTTAGACATTTTAAGGTTTTTTTTAGACTATTTTTAATTTTTTAAAAAGTAATGCTTTTTGATAACACTCAAATGAGATTTAAAGTCATTTAAAGCAATAAAAATAATTTAAATTGAGAAGTGAAAATCATGATCTCATTTGAAAAATGTGACAAGAGTAGACAGTAAGTCTCACTGAGACAGTATGAGACTACTATTTAATGTTAAAACCATGTAATGAGATCAGTTGAATTGATAATGAGACTATTAAAAAATCTGATTCTGGTCTCAGACACGGTCACATGATCAGTCTAGATACAACTCACTACTGTTGAGTATATTTTTTAAAGTTCAAGAATGAGATTGTTCAATACTTTGAGTTGTAACTCAGATTTATAAGTAATCTCAGATATACAGTCTCTGCTTTTCTACAGACTGATATTGATAGTGTTTTCTGATTCACATATATACACACAGTTATGAATTCATATAGTATTAAATGAGAATCAACAGTATCATATTCATCACATCAGAATGATGTTTCTGAATGAGAGATTCATACTATTATAAGATGAGTTAGAGCTGCTCTTTTAAAAGATAATCTCTCTAAGAAGTTCTGAGCAGATATTCTAGAGACAGTGATTATAATAATCAATAATACTTTCATATCTATAATTCTTTACAACTTAAAATTTTGACCCTCTACCACAGAGATCTCTGTGATTCCAAGTTCATATAAGATTTCTTAGTATGCACTTATGAATACCTCACTGAATGTGAGGCATTTTCACTGATTGAGTGCAGAGGTTTGTGGTTCGGAAGAACGTACGACCGTCGGATAATAACGCGGCCGCTTCCGAACTACTAGCGTACGAATGTAAAGGGGGCCCTAGCGGCCACTAATTAATTTAGCGTACGAGATTCAATATATAAGAAGCCGGCGTACGCCTGTAATCGTACGCTGGCTTAAGCAACCTTTGAATCACATCTGGTAGCATGTCTAAAAACCAGTGAGGAGCGCAGGCTCCTCCAGGGCGTGATAATTCCACCTACAAAGCAATTCATAGTTATCATGCCAGTGTGGTCCTAGAACATCTCAAAAGATAGCATATGAAGAGTGGTGAGTGGAAGAGCATCTGATTGATGCTGCTTCACTTGTTGAGGGAAAACTCCACGCCCAGGCGAATGCCACGTATGCGAACGGATGAGGTGTGAGAAAGAGGATGAGAGCAGTGAACCAGATTCAAAGGAGTCCGCTCCCTACCCAAAAGAAGGATAAAAGGAGGGGTGGCCACCACCGGAGTCGTACGATGATAACAGAAATCATATAACGATAGACATCATACGATCAACCAGAAACCAACCACCGAAATGAATACCTCCCCTGTCACAAACGCACCTCGAAGAACAGAAGCGTCAGATCACCGACCTTCTAGA